TGAGAAGTCAATATCACATTTAGTCACACTGTGGAGTAGCAGCCCTTTCTGCAGGCTGAGTGCACGTCATGTGACTAAAGTTAGGCGTGACTGCCTGTGACTTGTGTGTTTGTTTTGTATAGACTAGTTTTTAACCTGCGGTATGTTGTAACCCTTTGTTATATGCTACACGATCTATGGGTGTGTCTGTCTCTGCACGGGAACAGTGAAACTTAGGTTAGGAATATTGACATTTCCACCTTTGTTTGCACTACTCCAGTAGTGGATGGCGCTCAGACAGGGACGGAGCTGACCTTTGTTGCACTTGGGTGCAGACCTGGTCGTCTATGTCTGCCACATCTTATGTGTCTAAAGGGGTAAAGCAGTTATTAATCAGTGTATGTAGAAATTACATGCATAAATTCATAAGAATTTAAGCTATGTAATGGTGTCAGTATCATTTGCAGCTTTTTTTACTCAGAAGCTGCCACATTTAGTGATATATGACTGTTAAAATCATTGTCCCCTTTGTTTTATCTACTTAGTATGTTACTTCCAGCAACGTTAGAGTGAAATATTTCACTAAATATTGAACAGATGGACATGAAATTTTACATTTTTGGATTTGAGTGAAATATCATGTCAACGCTTGCTATACTTTTACATTCATGTTACATAGAGGATGGATTTGATGTTTCCTTGAATTGTCTAATAGCACCACATTTGGCTTATGTTGAAATATCTACAAACTGAGGACAGTCCGCTTAGTTGTACTTTGTGTTGAGTAAGAATTCGTAATTGTTCTAAGAGTTAGTGTTCTGACATGTTGTGATGGTTAACAATGAAACCATTATCAGTGTCGTGACTGCACTGACTGTAATTGTAGGAAGGGTAGCATTCTAACTTTTTTGCTCGAAGGGCAAATAAGGGAAGCACAGAGCTGCGAGAATGGCTGTAGACTGTCTTGTTAATACCAAAGGATTCTCTGGCACATAGAAAGCATTATCACATTTGATCCTTAAGTGAATGTAATGAGGCTGGGAGCTCATCTGCGGCTTTTCAGTAGTCTCTTTCAAAACTCTGCTCAAGAAAATAGGATGTAGGCCCGGTTTTCAGTTTCAAACTCAAAATTCAGAGAACACACTGCACCTAAACGCACAGAGACTGCTGCTGCTGCTGCTGTCAGTATATATTGCACTTCTTTAACGTTATTGCACTGCTATGTAAAGGTATTTGTAATTGCCACATGGAGGTGAAAAAGCTAAAAGGGTCACCATTAATAATGCAGCGTGTTACAGACACAGACACATTCATCACCGAGCTCTCAAACTGCATTATCTGCCACAGTGGTCACGTTCTGTTGATTTAAAATGGAATTGGTACTGTGTGTGTATACAGAGCATATAAACTGCCTGGAGGCACTCAGCTGTTGAATTGACTTCGGTCAGTGATCTTTCACATACACACATCTGCACAAACACACAGCTGCACACACGCTCCCCGTTTGGTAAAAACACAAAGCATTTGGCCTCGCCCTTGGTGCTTCGCTTCAGATCTGCTGTTGTCACATTAGCAGGGCACCAATGGGCAGATTGCTCGACTCACTCCCCTGGACAGGAACCGTTTGCTAATGAGAGTGACGTGGTACGTGCATTTTAAGTCAGAATCACAGTTGTGCACTTAGCAAAACGCAAAGGCTGCAATTCAGAATATGTGCTATGCAGTGACCTGACCCAGAGTTTAAACTGTGGTGTCAGTGGTTTTATAAATGTGTGCCGTCCTCATTGTTTGACAGTTATGCTTTAGACGGTCTCTCGTGTGGTAATGCTCCGTTACATGTTTAAAATCTATTCCACAGTGAACACTGAACTGAAGTCTGACTCTAAAAAAAGTCAGATCAGATCAAATTGCAATATCTGTCAGAAAAGTCTCAATTAGATATGTTCCTCAAATCATTCAGCTCTAGCTGGCACTTAACGCCTGCTCCACTCAGCTTAATGAAGCACGATGGCTGCAGCACCACTCTTGCCAATATCAAAGCTTTCTTGGGCTGTTAAACTTCCTAGTAATGTGTTTGTTGTCTGACGTTAACTCTGAGCAGTCACGGACTAGCTGGATGTAAGATGGTAGCTATTGCTTTATTTTGTCTGGACGAACTAAACCAGTAGTTCTTTATCTTTTTAGCCTTTGATTTGTCAAAACAAAGCATTGTCTACCTGCAGCCCGTTCTGTGTAGATTATGGCCTCAATGTGGACACCAGTTGAAAGCTGTTTAACTGAAGAATGATTTTTCCTTCTAATATTGTTACATCTGAATGATTTTTGGATAAGTTTTATAATATTTCATAAACAAAAAGCTGAAATCTGTCAGAATGAAAAATGCATTTACGATTTTCTCTGAGGTTAATCATCCCATTACTCCATGTGACTTGGCTCCCGGGGGGAAAATGCTATATATAGACTACTGCACATCGTCACGAAAATCAATAGGTGGAATGCTTTATGGTAGTATGGATTTATTGGTGACTTTTGCAGTGTGATGAAATACTGGACATCAGGTATTTTATTTTCTAGGAATGTACTATATCACAGTATAAGTCTGTATGTATGTTGTGATGGAGGACCCAGGGTATACCATACTGCATCTACTGAAGCTGAAAACATTATTTCCTTAATAGAGAAAAGAAATAAACCTTTGCTAACCATATTCTTTTCTCAAGTTTCCATTTGGGTGCTACATTTCCCTGCTGTTAATAAAAATATAAACCTAACAGTCATTTTTGCCACTGTCCATGGAGAGCTGGATGTTCATGCAGGAAGGTTGAGTGGCAGCTTTCAGCTGTACAGCAACATCTGGAGATCTTATGCAAGCTGAGCAGCTCAAATTTGTCTCTTTGGGATCACTTTGTTTGGCTCTTTTCGGGTATATAAGTTTGCAAGAGGCATTTGCAGCTTCATGCAAATGCCTCTTGCAAACATGTCTGATAGGGCTGAACAATTTGGGGAAACTATCTTTTCTGACAGATACTGCTTTAATTTGTTTTGACAAAAGGCTTGACTTTCTTTTAAAGTCAAGCCATGGTTCAATATTCACTGTATTATAGACTTAAAGTGAAATGGAGCATTACCACATGAGATACCATCAAAAGCGCGACTGTGAAACAAGGACATTGGCATCATTTTGGAAAACCGCTGACATAGTTCAACCCTCTGAACCACAAGCAGTTTCTGGGCATTTTTTGCTCCGAACACATCACCTTTTTATCACGTTTTCATCCAGTGGGGGTTAATTTGTCACTGCAGAAACAGCACAACCATGGCTAGAAGTAGAGAGAACTCAAAGATGTCTTCTGTGCAGTATGACGCAGTTATAATTCCAGAAGTTATTTTAAAAAAAAACAACAAAAGTTGAATTTAGTTGTACCTTTATTTTACAAAAATTGAAAAAACTGGAATTAACATGTATTACATTTTCTTAAGTGCCCACAGGTGGTGCTGATCTTGAAAAAATAGTGAGCCCACATACTATAGATACTGCTACTTATATTTGTATTTGTTTCCATACTTGTTTCCTATCTGCTCTGTATAAACACAGCCTGCAGTTCAGCCCAGTAGCGCTCAAAGGTCGTTGAATTGTTGTCATGTCACTGCTGGTTGCAGCTGAGTCACTAATAGCTTCTGGTTTGCGCTGCAGATGACACAATTTAAAGTTTTTTACAGAGTCCATTTAGTGCAAATTGTTCCATTTTGCTGACTTTGAAAAGGAGATGCGTAGGATAAAGTGATTGTGATGAAAAGCACTTTTTTTCCATTTTAGATATGGATACTTCGCAAGTGAACACTACAGCACAGATGATAAGTTAAAGGACCATCGGAAAGTACAAAATCTGAGGATTGTCTATGTTTATCTATCTGCCTGTCCATCGTTCCTCCTGTTAAAGCCCCGTCTTGCAACTGGTAGATTGTAGGAGAGGGCACATCTGCTCTCCGTGCTTCAACACTAGTCTGCTTTCTTCTCCCTTGAAAATAGACGGCTCCCTTGTTCCTCTTTAATGTAATATTGATTGAACAAGCTCCCAGGTGAAATGAAAAGGGATGGGCGGGAGTGTCTGCCACATCCCTGGTTGTCAGTTTGATAAAGATGTATTCACATGGGACTCCCCCTGACTTTCAGCTAAATAAGAAACATTGCAGAGGAAACTTGAAAACAAAGTGTTCCAGCATGAGGACACAGGTGGTGTTCCGTGGTTTTATTAGAAAGTTAGAGGATACAATATCATGAACCATTACAATTTGGATTCTGAACATACTAGTGTCATTAATCATGTTGTTGCGATCACATTTTGTGTGTTGCGTTGACAGTTTTTCTCATATAAGGATGTAAAAGCTGACTGCTGAGACTAAAATCAGGTTTTTGACATATTGCTGAAATTGCTGCCTTTTAGCAAAACCCAGTAGATTTAAATATTAATTAGAGATTTGAGTTTGCATTTAAACCAGGAGAAGGACTTCACCCAAGGAATGTCAAGTACAGGACAGAGAAGTACTCCGACTAGAATAATGAGCCGTTCTTTATGGAAGCTTTCTCCATTATCAGGAGCCTGGGAGGGACTCGAGGTTTTGCAGTGTGATTGCACTTTTTTTATTGGGAGTCACACTGGCGCTTCATTAAGCACTGAATACGGCAACCTGGAATTAATTGGAAAGTCATGCATCAGCGAGAAAGAGCTGGTTCAATCAGAGGTATCTGTACTATCTGCTGGTCAGATTATAAACTGTATAGATGGGAACTGAAAAAAGCATTTGAAAAGCCAGATATTTTTCTAGAAGAAATTTATATTAGTGTAAAAGCACATTCAGAGCAAAGTCCAGGAAACTCAATTGAAGTGGCTTTTTGGCAGACGCTTTTTTTCAGATCCTTCTTTTCAGGATGCTCTATAACGTCTGCTGACATGACAGTTTACCAAGGGAGGGGTGTGTGTGAGGACACACAATAAACTGGTCTTTCTTTTTCTTTCCAGATTCAACACAGACAACCTTCACTGGGAAAGCGTCCAGCTCTTTTCTTCAGTACACTTGCGCCCTCTGGAGGTAAAACACCATTACTACAGTCCCACAGTAAACGTCACTTAATTTTCACACTTTTTGGCAAAAATACACATTTCAATTAAGATTTTTCAGGTAGATTCTTCCTTGATTTTTTTTTTCCAGATGTGTCTTTAAAGTACAAATATGGCCGTTTAGTCCTGGAGGCCCCGTTGCCGTCCAGGAACGAGAAGTGTCTGTTCTTCCTCAGGCCCATGCTGATGAGCGTAGGAGACCTGATCGACGATCTGCAGAGAGAGGACCCAGGAGCCACCGCTTCTGTCTTGTCCACAGGTACAACAAGGCATGACGCTAGATATGCATCTCCAGGTCGACGACATGCTTCAGACACAGTCAGTCTGGTTTGCCAAGTTTTGTGTACCAAAAAAAAAAAAAAAGCAGCTCAGAGCAGTTTAGCAACATGCCTCAAGAATATCGTGTCACAAAGCATTTACTCATCGCCAGCACTGCTCCAGCGTCCACCCTACAGGTTTTAAAAGGTTAATCAAGTAAATCATTTCATGGTTTCATTGTTCTTTGCTGTTTAAGGTCTGGGCAGTTATAGGAACTGTGCCACGCATTCCTGGTAACTGGGTTCATGAGTCATTGTTTTACAGCCTCTTTAAATGGAGTCATGTCTACTTTCACACGTCAACACAGGTTGCGGCTTTACAGAGGAGCTCCACTAATCTTACACATTTGTTTACAGGTCTTGGAGGGTACTAGTGCATAAATTCATGTAAATACTTGTGTGTAGTTACTCGAGACAGGTTTTGCTGGGTCTGAAGACTATAAGTTTGAAAGAATCAGGGGTTACAAACAGATGGAGCTACAGATCTGCGTAGCCCGTTTCTGTGCTTGAGGTGGCAGCTCATGGCTTTATTGGCCTCGACTGGCATAAATCAAAAATCTCCCAACAAGCTGTTGGTGGTAGAGTTGTATTATGGGTAAAGTTGGAGCCAGGTTTTTACAAAGAAGAAGAATGTGTGCAATAAAAAACACAATATTTTTACTTCGGCTACATTAATTCTTCCTCCTTTTAAAATGGTTCATCCAATGATTTTATAAAAGTGCAAAGCTATATTGAAGAAGTACTGTTATATGTGCGAGTTAGAAGCATTTTAACAAAAAAAGGATTTTTCTGTCTTGAATAGAATAGAAGAATAGAAGAGAACATTATTGATCCCTTTGGTGCAAACCTCAGGGAAATTGTTGTACTAGAAATAACAACACAACACCAACACAACATCAGCAACAATAGTAACAATAATAATAATAACACTGGATACAGTAACAAAATTTGCCAAAGTGCCTAAATATTCCACACAGTCTGGTGATAGATCATGATGCTCTATCTCACCCCAATGTCCTCACTCCTCACCCCTCTTGGGTTGTTCAAGTGTTTTTTGAACCCTGCCTTAAGGAGCTAAGAGTATTTGTAGAGCTAGAACATTCAGGAAGGTTTTTAAAAATTGCCATTCTGTGTCATTCCTATAATTATATCGTGGCCTGTCAGATCTGTCTCGGTTCCCAACCCCCAAGCAGTAAACCACACCAGCAGGTTGTTTGGATATGGTGTAATCATGTTGACATAGCTTTATATCTAGAAAAGTTGACTTATCATCGTTGGTCCATAACACAGCAGCAGGAAGTCAGCGCTGCAGAGCTGTCTGGTGTGTAGGCAGTCCAACTGTCCTCAATTATAGTACTGGTCCCTAAAATCGAAGATAGCAAACAACTTTAATCCAGTTGCACTTTCAGTTGTTGCCATTAAATGCTTCGAAAAGCTGGTAATAAAATTCACAAACTCTGTAGATTCCCAACAGTTTGTAAACTGTCAGCAGATAAGTGGAGGTGACCCAAGTGTTTCTCTTGGAACACGAACAGAATTTATGCATGCATGTTCTTTCTCCGACTTCAATTCACCATCCGACCAGTGAAGCCGACTGTAAAGCTGGCAGACCTTTGAATGCCAACACCCACCTGTGACTGAATTTTTAATTTTGGTACAGACAGTTCACAGGTGGTGAGGATGAGAAATAAGGTCTCTGCCAAGCTCACAATCTGTACAGGAAACCCACAGGGCGACTGCTGCTGCGTCAGCCTCAAACTGTACACCCTGTAGGACAACTATCTCATAATTAAATACGCAGATAATAAGAGCGTCCTTGGCCTCATCAAAGGTGGGGAACAGTCACCATACAGGGAACTTGGGGGGGGGAGGACGACAACAGTGACCATTTTCTGAACATACAGTCGATATCGTATGGTGTGACTTTGGTTTTTTTTTTATGTCCATCGGTGCTTCTTTATTTACCACTTTCTGTTTACTTGGTTGACTCTGATCAATGTACTTGTACTGTCCTCTATCTGTGCACATGACAAGTAAATAAACCTAATCTGATCTAAAATGCTTCGACAGTAAGAGGTGTGACTCACATTCCCCTGGAAAAAAAACCCTGCTTTTTCTCTGAAGAAAGTAGGTTGAGGCAGTTTGACACAAAGATTTTTTTATCATTTTAGGAAACTGGACTTGTTAAAGTGAGCAGCATAGATTTTATATTAAACGAGAGGAGAGTCTTTTCCCCGTGAGTCTCATTCCTGCCAAGAAAACACTGTCTGTGCTTTATGCAGTGTATGCCAGTCTCTCAGACAACCATTTTTTCTGAAAACTTACAGGAATTCAATTAAAGTACTAAAGTGGAATCTTGTTCTAACAGACGGAGAACGTGTTGCCAACACCACGCTGATAGACGCTCTGCTGGACAAGGACTTTCAGCTCGTCATCAACGATGCAGTTTATAACGTCAGCTCTCCTGAAAAGGGTACAGCACATTTGTCTCAGTCATAAATAATTCTCATTTGTCTGCTTCACAGTTATTTGCTGGTTATTGTCTCTCCTCTTGTGTTTAATTTCGCTTTCTCATCCTCGTCTACCTTCTTGTGTCCTCTGCTGCAGTCTGCACGTCCAGCGAACACGCCAGGGACCTGGAGGACATGAAACATGTGGTGCACCTGCTGCACACGGCGCTCCACCAGCCTGAACACCACCTGCTGAAGGAGAGGCAGCTGCTGGAGAAGCTGGACAACCTCCAACAGGAGCTATCACCTATGGAGAAGGTAATACATGTGTCAGGATGTCATTAAATGCCTCTTTCTCCTCTGTTGGACCTGTTTGATGTTCTGTTTTAGTCCTGGTTTAAAGGAGACAAATTGCTTTTTCTTTCTTTTGAGACTCTCCCTCCTTGTTTTATTTCCTGACAGATGAAGGCGCAGCTGTCCCGTTCAGCAGAGTTCCACGCCTCCAGGAGTCTCTGGACCGGCATGGCCGTGCTGTCTGTGCAGGGCGGCGCTCTGGCCTGGCTCACCTGGTGGGTCTATTCATGGGACGTCATGGAGCCCGTCACTTACTTCATCACCTACGCCACCAGCATGGGAGCTTTCGCCTATTACGTCCTCACCAAACAGGCAAGACTCAGAGACTCACTTCAGCTTTGTTCTCCTTGAATATAAAGAAACAGTTCAGCATTTCGGGACACACCCTTTAGCCTAGCGTATAATCTGGAAACAGGGTAAAAGCTAACCAAAAAGTTTTTTTTAAAACTGTCACTATGAGGCTGCCAGACAACCCCTCAGTTACTTGCTATGTTATCTGCCAGCTGTTTTATGTTTACTAGATATGAATGATATCAAAAGTCTTGGCAAGTTGGAATTTCTCATTTTAGTTCGGTACACCTGAAGCTCCGCTGTACAAAACCCTGATGTGTAAAAATGTTTTTTAATAGTGATGCGACTTTACTCTTTCCCACAGGATTACATATACCCAGATGCTAAAGACAGACAGTTCCTGCGTTACTTTTACAAGGGGGCCAGCAAGAAGAAATTCAACGTGACAAAATACAACGAGCTGAAGGATGAGCTGGCTCAGGTTGGCTCACTGATTTGTTCTAGCTCAGAGTGTTGGGAGTCACACTTCACCTTTAGATGTTTTGAATGTACAAAGAACCTTACACTGCAGCTGATGTTTTTCCAAAATCTGTAACGAGTACGATCCACTGCTTCTAACGTCTGTCTTTCTGTGTGTCAGGTGGAGGACGACCTGAAACGTCTGAAATATCCGACTCAGCTCCAGCTGCCACTTGAACACATTCAGCCAAAGCCATAGACGAAGCCATGAATAACAGCCACTCACACTTTACCAGAGCAAAAACAAATTTCCTGCTTTATTTTGATAATGGCGCCTTTTTTTAGGAATCCATATCATTCTGAGTTTTGTTTACTACCTTGATAATGACGCCAACTGTATCCTTGAGAAATATACACAGTCTGATGATGAATGAAATTAAAAAAGTATTTCCCCAAATTTGCTTGTGTCTGTTTTCTGCCTGATGTCTTTTTCCAAGTATGTTTTAAGTATAGTTGTGATTTGAAGAAAACTGGTTATTAGACAAGTGGGAGACTTTAAACAGTTTCAGAACAAATAAAGAATGCACGCATCTTTTTTTGCCATTCAAACAATTACAGTTTAATAAAACAAAAATACAGGATCAGTGTGTATGCTGGTAGCTTCATTTTTCCTGACACGTATCATGTTATACAGCTGGAAGTGTTTTCAGTCAACAGTACAGCCTCTATAAAAAAACACACCCTCCTCCCTGAGGTACTTTACACAAGTGTTGGTTGTCATTTTGGGTGCAAATGCGCATTATTAAATGTACTGAAAACTGCTGTGACACAAAGAACAGCACAAACATGAATTCCCTTTTTTTTTTTAAAGAGCGAGCTTGAAGACAAACGTGTTTATGTAGCGCTTGAATGATCTGTTGAGAGATTACTGATCATTGGTGCTGACAATGTGGAACAATTCAACCCTGATGTGAACAAAAATCATTTACAGTACTGTGTCCTGGTTGCCACGCGGTTCTGTCGCCTAAAATATTTGTCTGGCTCATAGACGTACCCGCAACTGACTTAACAGCCAAGAAAAACAAACTTCCCTGACATTTCCAGCTTCCTCAGAGACAATGTTTTTGTCAGTGGAAGGCTTCTCTGTGCAAGGCCACCAGAAATGTCAAGTCCTACTTTTCTTGACTTGATAGAAATATTTTTTGTTAGCATGTTCGATAAGGCAACATTTCTGTGCTACCACAGTAATTAAAACTTGATTACAAAGTAGCCAAAATGGAATGTGGTCCATAATAATCCAGCAGTTTTAAAGCAATTTCCTGAAAGTGCAAAATGTCTACTGATCTACAGGGATTGGACAAAATAACAGGAACACCTTGCAACAGAATACAGTCCAGGACAACGATGTCATAACTTTCAGTTTCAGAATTACTGTACTTTTGACCCTTGTGACAATTGCCAAAAGACAATAAACACTATTATCTTAACAAAGATAGTGCCTGTTTTTTGAGCCAAACTGACACCCAACAGTTTGGGTAAACACTGGTATTTGGAAATAGGTGGTCAGACACTCAGATCCTGCCGTATCTCATGCCATGATTGGTTTAGTTGACTGGAAGACAGCCACAGTTGCAGTCAATAAATATGCACAGTGTAAAACAGCATACAGGTAGATGTTTCCAACACATAATTTAATTTGAAGTCCTGCGGGGGTTGTTGTACTGGATTGCATTCTGATGGCAGGAATAAAGTGACTGCCCATGACCACAAATACTCCTATATGTTCTCCAGATGTAAACAGAGGTTGTTCCTGTTATTTCATATCCATTTTATCACTAGAAATATCAAGGCTACTCGTTAGCTAATTTTTCAATGTATATGAAAATAATAATGTCCATGAGCAGAAATCTGATAATGATTAGATGAAAATCTGCAATGTTTTTCTTGTTTCAAATCTCATTTCTAAAGCCCCTATTTCTTAGGCTTTTATATAAAACCAGCTCATTAGGTAACTGAGGTCTTACATTGTTATTTTTTTGGTCGGAAGTAGAGCTTCTTGGTGAGCATTGAAGCAAAGCAAGGCACTTGCTTCTTCCCAATGGATTTCCGGTCAGTGGAGTTCATAACGCTCCTCATTGACACTTTTCTGTTGACCAGCGTGAGTAATTCTGTGAATTCAAGGGAATCCCCAAACTTTCGCAGCAACTCGCAGAGATCCTGGACATACCAGGAGCCATTTATGGTCTCCCGGTGGGAATAGTAACCTTAGCAAACAAAACAAAAAACAAACAAAAAAGTCAATATGGATGCTTCGTGAGAAAAGGACATTATAAAATACACAGGCTTATTATAATGCTTTGTACCAGTGTTTTACAAAAGATCAATAATATAGTCTCTAAAAGAAGTTCAGTGCATTTGGTCCAGACCACAGCAAAAAGATCCACTGCTGAATTTTAAATCAGTTCATGTTTAAAAGCAGACCAAGAGAAGTAAACATGTTTACAAGTTATACACATATAAACATATAAACATATATAACGTTGACTAGGGTCCCAAGTGGATAGATTAAATCCCATTTATTGGCAGTTTAACTTTTGAAATTATTCTAAAAACTCATAATTAAAATATTGTGGCTGGAACACTTGCTTTTCACCCCAAACAAGCTGTACAACAGCCCAGTTGGTGGACTGAACGCTTCCTTTTCAAATGGTCTTGGCACTGTTTTTTTGGTCCACATCCAACTTAAACGGACAGCTTTCACGCCAGCCCAAACTAACCACCCTGAAGCATCCCACATGACTCACCTTCAGCCACAGAATAGCACATGATAAAATCAGCCCCGGCAGGGAGGGTGTGAACTGCACTAGCATCCACCACCACGTTGTTTGTCTTCAAGTCACTGTCCACAGCATCACAGGCGGTCACTGCATCATCGTGCTTGTCCCCGCGGCATGCCTAAAGACGGACAGGGCTACTTTAACTTTGACTGCATTTTCAAAAACTATTGCTTTTCACTTCAAAGATTAAAACAGGTAATATTTTGTTTTTTGTTTGCATGTACCTGTACTATAAAAATCTTTGGCTTTCCAACAAGACTCTTGCACTTGTCTCCTTTGAACAAGGACGTGATATCCTGGATGCTAATCTTGCCATCGTAGGCGTACACATGATCATCCTCGCCGTGGCTCAGGAAAACAAGCAAAAAGCAGTCGGCATCCGAGTGGTCTTCCTCTGCAGCTGGTGGGGCGACAGGTATTTGTTAGACTTACGACTGACAGAGTCAATGTTCAAACCCCATATTGGATGTCAGAATGTTTTCTTTGCATCAACAGGAAAACTAGGAATTGGAGAGCAACAGTCATTTCAATGCGACAGGTGATCATATACATGCTTACCTTCATAGATTTTATCTAGGACTTCCACCTGCTTGTAGTTCTCATAAGTCTTCACCTCAAAGTTTAGCTCCTCCAGTCTAAATGAAAATTGAAAATCAGTTGAGCGTGTAATAACATACAAGCACAAAAGGGGGCAATGGACTGGAAATATTACAAATGTTACCACAGGACAGACTTCCAGCTGCTGAACAAGTGCAGGCATGTTCCTAAGCACACTGTTTTGCGCTTCCAGCAGCTGGCTGGGAATAATACCTTTTCTCTAAGTTGTAACGATCAGCGTTGGTTCCGTGTCTATCGTTCAACCCCAGGCGCCAGAAGAAGCGCTCCTGGTTAAAGATGAGTGCGAGGCCTCGCCGTTTGTTGCCCATCCTGTACTCCTCTGCAGGATCCAAAGCTAATGAGCTGTTTCAAAATGAAAAGGAACACGTGAATGTAGACGACACCAAACGTGTACTGGACTGGAAGGAAGTGCGAATTTCCAGCTGATACCCACATAAATAAACAATTTACCTTGTGACGAAGGCATCCGTCTCCGTTAGGTTCTCCGTGCATGCTATAAAAAGTAACACATACATGAAAAACACATGCAACAATTACAAAACAACAATGTTTTGACAAGTCTTGCTTTACAGCTTTTTTTAAAATATATATATATAGCAACAATAGTGTTGTTGCAAAAAAAATACACAGGAGGAGCTTTTCAGGCTGCTGTCAAAAAGTACAACTACAGGTGCATGAATTGCTCCACCGCTGCTGGTATGGGGTCAAGCAGCCATTGTTCCACCAGCTTAGAGTCCTAATGGCCCTCAATAGCTGCCTGACAGGTGGAGAAAGATGGCAAAGGCTGCTAAAAGAACAGAGGCCAAAAGTGACACCTCTGCTCTCCAACCTACAGATATGTAGGTTAGACTGTGTGAAAAGGCAACAGCTTGGGAGAGTTTGACAGTTAGGACGGTTTTATGTGACTTTTGAAAAAAAAAAAAAAAAAGGCGTAATCAGTACAAACACCTCTGTGTGCTTGTTTTTCCTGATTTCTTAAATAAATTTCTTTTAACACTCACTCGACAGGTTATTCCGTTCAGTCACCTGAAACTAATGCAGTCTAATGCAACAGTCTTGTATTAAAGTTGACTTTTATGAAGGTCATGAAGCTCAGGTTTTTTGTTTCAGTTTCTGTAGAGTTGTGTTGATTCAACCTTATCATCCTTTTAGAGGCCAGAGGTTGATAAGTGTGATAAATATTTAGCCTAGACACCTATAAAGTAGGATAAAAGAAAACTGCAAATATCTTTTTTATACGACCACAGCTGACACGACAAATCTTACTGAGAATAGGATTTATTAAAGAACTGTTTTTCATGAGTAGCGATGTCAGAGCTAACTGAGTTACTCCATCCTCAGTTTTCACTCCACTTATCAAGCAACTTGATCACTTTCTGTATGACAAAGAAACGAAAGGAATATGGTGAACTACCATCCTGTTCACATGATAACTAATAATCAGGGCAGTTTAAGTTGATGTTTAATCTTACCTTGTATAAATTGACTGTACTTTGTGCTCGCTGGCAATAAAACTTAACAACTTTTGTTTGTTTTACTTTTGCTTTGTTAGGATCAAATCTTCTCTCCTGTTTAAAGTTTGTCAAGAAGCTTTTAAAGTAGTATTTAGGTCAGTTTGCATACTCACCCGCCCTGTCTGTGGCTGGTCTGCTGTCCTTAGCAACACTTCCTGGGAAAAATAAAATGGGAAAAACAGCAATGAGGTCCTGACTTCTAAAAAAAAAGGGTTTATTAACATTTAAAAGCTGCCTTACTCGTTGTATTAACTTTGTAAGTGAGTAAAGTGAAGAACAAATCACAGGAAAGCAGCGCTTGTGTAAGAACACAGTAAACACAGCTTCACTGATGACACTCAGCCCAACTTACAGCGAAAACTACACACAGTAGCATTTATTTTTCAGATTTTAAATGATACCAAGAAGACCAACGTTTGTATATCTGTTCTGAGTTCAAAGCGTAGATTGAAAGTTGTTACCTCCAGTCAAGTCTCCTGCCTTGTTGGACATGTTCACAGCTCGTCTTTTCTCCGACTTCCACACGAATTTGCTTCGTCAAAGTATCACTCATGAATCAGGTTGTAGCTCCGCCCCTCCCTCATGCCATTGGCGCACACTAGCAAGCAGACAAGCCCATTGGTTCTCACACCTGTCACTCAAAGATCAATCGTCAGGACTTCCGTGTTTGCCACATTGGATCAGCGAATCTTTCCACATTTAAGTACGAAGATTAAACATATCGCGAACAATAAGACAGAGATTAAAGATGATACAGGCGAAGGTTAGGACAGATAAATAGCCATTCAGCAGGATTTTAGCGGCCTTATCTCACAATATCAACATCATATAAATATAAAAAATTACATTTTTAATGTAGCGCAAAGATACTCCAATGACAAGTGACACAAAAAATAAAATGTCAATAAAAGCATGTCTTTATTGGTAATGACAAGTTATCAAACGTTTTCTACACATGTGCATCAGTTGTGTTTACTAGTGCATTGTGCTCCATGTGGTATTTTACACATTTTATAAAAGGAGAACTACAATGCTCTATGTTGCAGACACAAACACTATTGACTTATTTATCACATGTTCCTATTAGGAAAATGGGAGAAAGAACTGTGACTCTTGGGGGGAAAAAATTAGCTCCATTTACAATCAAGTAAATATTCATTGAATCAATAATTTATTGCTGCAACTATTATTCCTGATATGCGATACATTGGATGCTTGGCTGTGCAAAAATCAACAATGCTGACCTGCTGTGTACTAAATAAAAACTTCCAGCTGTTCTAGTTAAGCATTTAATTAGAATAACTCAATTAAACATGTACCAGCTGAACAGAGCCAGCCTTTTTTAACTGGAAATTTCTTAGGAAATTATTAAGATTTAACAGACCCATAGCATATAGTGTTGGTTAAAAGACTGGGTCCTTCCCAGGCATGTATGAATCAAGGAAGCACTGAAAACCTAATTTCCAGTCCATTAAAGAAAAATCACATTAAATAAAATATAAATAATTAATTACACAAGAAATATATTATTTGTCCGCTTTCACATTTAGCTTGTACAAACAGTGTTATTTTAAAACTCCAATAAAAAGGACAAAGGACGCGGACTAGTGCCAGCTCAAGAAGCTCTATCCCTGAGAAAATCTACAAATCTGAAAGGAAAGTTTGTTGCTGGCAATCTTCAGTTAGTGTTGAGTTTCAGGTTGAGTCGTATCCACAGGCTGGTTCCTGCGCCGATGTTACAGTTCCCGCTTCATCTCATACTGACACACACAGGAGTCTCGCTGGCTGTCCAGATACGGCTTACATCCCAAGTGCATAACAGCGTCAAAAAGCAGAGTCACTGCTGACTCACATGCTGTCGAGATGGAAAGAAGACAAGAAACAACATGAGCAAACACACAACACAGGGGAGGTGGATGCCAGGTTATTGTGAGTGAATCATAAACATTTAAATAAACTGTGTGCATTTAAATGCAGCATAGAGCGCTGGTCAAACACAGATTTAGTCAAAGGTTAAAATCCATTTTACTTTTGTTTTAGGGAACACAACAAAAAAGGGATCACAGCAACATTCTTCGTCACAGCAGCATTGAGATCCAGACAGCAAGACAGGTGAGGTTAAACTCTCTAAATATAATATGGCACATTTTCAAAACCATATTCCAGACCACAACAATAAAGATATACAAATCCAATTTGTATCTGACAAAATGAGATTGATGTTGTGGTGATGAGTCTACATTAACGAATAATTGCCAATTTTATGTGTTATGACTCACAACACACAGATTACAGTATCTACATTGCCAACATTTCAAAAGGCTGATTCTCAAAATTTGGGACCAGCTCCGTGATGACCAGAGAAAAAATATGGAGTGACACTAAGTTTACTGAATATGATTTATGGAAGGAAAATAAACAGATGCTCTCATGTGCAATGTTGCTTTTTTTCACAAAAATTCAACTTATGTCCTTTTTTTATTAGTTGCTCCCCCTATCATTAATGAAAATTGTAGGGTGAGGCAGTGTAAATGTTTTTTGGCTTCTGAACTGAGACATTCCAGACAAAGCTTGAGATTTAAAATACAGCTTTATGTTTCCCTCTGCTGGATCTACTGTGTACTACAACAATGTGCTCTCTAACTCACCTATCTACACATGTATGCATAACAATGAAATCTTTAACTTTCAACATTATAATTGAACTACGGCAAAATTGAATGTTTATTTCTTAAGATGTAAGTCAAAAATTTTAATGAATGTTGACAAGGTAAGAATTCTCAACAAATTTTAATTAGATTTCTTTTTTGAGGAGCACTTAAGGTGCTGCTGACTATAATTAATAAACAACACTAATTTGAATTATGCAAGCTTTATACACCCAACTGTGCATGCCTGCTGACTGAGTTCAGATCTTCCTCATTCTAAGCAGCAGGAGGAGGAGAGACAACAGTATAGAGAGTACAGCATGTAGGCCTTTGGGTCTTAATAGCAAGGGAACAGACATTTACTGCAAAATAACATTAACAATGGCTCTGTTCTGTTCAAGTTTCCCAGTAAGCCGCAACAGCAAAAGTCAGCCAGACTGCACCAGAAATTGAAGCAGTTAAATGGATTTCCTACTGCAATGCTGAAAGGTTTTTAAATCACAAGAAAAACAGATTTGTTTTTAGTACCAGGATTCTGGAACTACCTCAGTTAAATGGAAAGCAGTAATCTTTAAAGTCCAACTAAAATCACATTTAGTTATCCATGTCTGCTGTTGTTGTTACACATTGTAAAACTTCTGCTGTAATCTCAATGTCATGGGGAAACAATGTGTTGTTAATAGTACAGGAGAACCAACTATATTTGCAGGTACATAGAAGCAACCTAAAGAGCTGCAGGTGAGTGCCAATTATTCATCTAAAAAAGTGCTAGGACAGCACTTATACACAGTGAATGTGAGCTGGGTCACTTCTTCAACAAGCTACGGTGCAGGACAAAACAAGTTAATGTTTTTCAGTTAGATAAGAAAGAGACTTAAGCAGAAAAGCTAAATATTGGGAATACACTTGGCCTTCAAGCCTAATGTCACAAGCAGGACTGTGCAGAAAGTCAAAGTGCGAGTTCATGTATATTTATAGTAAGGGCTTAAGAGTTTACTTTTAGGCATCTCTACTAGTAAGTATATGAATTCTGAATCAAAGGCATAATGAGATACAGTTGAAACCAGAAGCTTACATACACTGTGTAAAAAACTTTATTTTCTCAATGTCCAACATTAAATCAAACTAAAGTTTTCCTGTTTTAGGTCAGCTAGGATTACCAAAATTATTTCTATTTTCTAAATGCCAAAATAATGAGAGAAAAGAAAATGTAAAGAATTGTTTTACTGCTTTCTTCAAAGTCAGAAGTTAACATACACTAAGATTACTATGTCTTGGAACTGTTTGAGAAAGCCCAGATGATGATGTCGTGGCTTTGGAAGCTTTCAATACGATAATTGACAACATTTGAATTAACTGGAGGTACACCTGTGGATGTATTTTAAGGCACACCTCAAACACGCTGCTTCCTTCAGTGACAACATGGAAAAAGCTAAACAAATCAGCCAGTTCGCAAATGCACACACGGACAAAGACCCTAATTTTTGGAGACATGTCCTGTGGTCTGATGAAACTAAAATTGAAGTGTTTGGTCATAATTACTATTGTTACATTTGGAGGAAAAAGGGGGAAGCTTGCAAGCCTGAGAACACCATCCCAACTGTGTAGTATGGGGGTGGCAGCATCATGTTGTGGGGGTGTTTTGCTGCAGGAGGGACTGGTGCACTTCACAACATAGATGGCATCATGAGGAAAGAACATTATGTGGAAATATTGAAGCAACATCGTAAGACATCAGCCAGGAAGTTAAAGCTTGGGTGCAAATGGGTCTTCCTAAGCATACTGCCAAATTACTTACAATATGGCTTCAGGACATCAAAGTCAATGTCTTGGAGTGGCCATCACAAAGCCCTGATCTCAATCCTGTAGAATATTTGTTGGCAGAGCTGAAAAGGTGTGTGGAGCAAGCTGGGCAACAAACCTGCTTCAGTTACACCAGTTCTGTCAGGAGGAATGGGCCAGAATCCTATCAAACTATTGTGAGAAGCTTGTGGAAGGATACCCAAAACATTTGTCATACAGTTTAAAGGCAAAGCTACCAAATACTGAGGAAATGTATGTAAACTTCTGACTTTGAAGAAAGTAATAAAAAAATATCTCTCTCATTATTCTGGCGTTTAGCAAATAGAAATAATTTTGGTAATATAACTGACCTAAAACGGAAAAAGTTTAGTCTGATTTAATGTCAGACAGTGAGAAAAAACGTTATGTGTCTTTTTTTTCATACAGTATATGTAAACTTCTGGTTTCAAGTGTATATCAGTAAAACATTCAGGCATTTATTTTTGAGAGTTCCTAAGATATTTTCATCCAAACATAACCTCAAATTTCACTATGCAGAAAACCCGTTGAAAGTAGGTCGAAAGACAATTTAAAAAAATACTTGACATATCATTCTTTAATTTCACAGATACAATTTTAAATGTACATACTTGATGATAGAAAAGTTTCACACAAATCAGAGATGGTTAAGCAGAATGTCCCTGACGATTCATGATAGTATAACCCATTCATACAAATTTACTTCCAATAGTGGCAACCAACTACAGGCTGTCACCTGAGTCAGGTACACGATGCAACCCCATCTGTCCTGCATCAGCCTCTTACCTTGGACACTCTGAGCCAATCCTAGAGTCCGTTGTACATTCCTGCAGATAGTCTCCAGACAATCCTGAAACTGGTCGTCGCAGTCGTGTTTCTCACGGCCACAGGTGTCATAGCAGCGGTCGTGTTGGTTACAACATCTGGTCATGGATGGGATACCTATATCAAACTGAAAATGAAAGCTCAGTTACACTTCTTATTCAAGCCAATTTATCAGCTGGGTTTCATTGTTTTTACCCAAATTGTGCCTTGCAGTATAAAGTAAAAGTGTTGTACAAGAACACAATGCACTTTGGTATGCTGCGTGCATGCACTTTGTGTATTGTGACAGGAACACAAGAGGCATTCAACACCCCAAACGCAGACAGATTACCTGAAATCCAAACAGCGGGGAGCCACATCCGTTGGGTGGTGGCTGCTTGTACCCGGGACGAGGCACCGGCTTGTACCCTGTGAGACAGGAGCAAAGGTGAAGAGGCTTCTTGTTCCTACACAGTCTATTATCTTGTTGTCAGAGATAACCACATCAATACAGACGACTTACTGGCTTACTGTGACACTCAAGGGGCGATATATATATATAGGAGGATTTTGTAGCTCCCAGCTGTTCTATAAACTCAAAAGTCATTAAGTTGGTCACTAATTATTCACAGTTGTTTCATGAGGAAAAACGTAGGTATGAATAATTAACATTCAGCTGTGACAGTAAGTCAGCATGTCTGATTCCATGGGTGGCTCTCCTAAATGAAACACAGCCTCTACTAATGTTTTTAAACACATCAATAGCTGATTTTGAAGAAGGCGTTAATCTGATTTACCATCACTGCATCTGTAATGACACAGTCCGTCATCGCCCCCAAACAGGTCCAGTGCTGCGTTCAGGTACGTGTCAATCTTGTGTATTCCATTACGGATAGTTTTCAGAGTCATTCTCCAGTCTGGAGTCTCTGGCTCGTCTTTGCAGGCGGACACATAAGAGAAACATCCACAAAAGTACAAACCCAAGAGGAAAACACAGATTTTGTAGCTGTGGTGCCGCATAGTCCACTGAACAGCAGAGCCAGAGAGCAGCGACTCCCGGCACATCGGTTCAACTGATTTATTCCTGAAAACGTTGCCTCGATGACATCTCAAGTGTCCCTTCTGCTTGTTTTCATTTCACTTCCAAAGCACAGAGGAGGCACGAGCCGAGCTGCCGCAGCTTCCGGGTTTGACGGTGTCACGTGACCACTGATAAACAAATGAGGGTGACGTCAGACACTGCGATTAAACAAAAATTACTGAAGTCTGCGCGAAGTTCGGTTTAAAAAAAAAAAAGAAAGAAAACTAAAGTCTGTGTCATCTCGGATACACATCATATGTTCTATACAAAACGCAGTTCTGTTTAATTTTTAAGTTTACAAAACACATATTAGATAGTTCATCATGTGTGTCATAGCTCACCTTTGGCCTACATTACCCACCGTTCACGTGGCTACCAAATGTCCCAAATCCTGTAGAGCTTGCAGTTCAGCTTTAAAAGTCTCTCTAATGTCATCAAATTTTGCGCATACTGCTGAAATGAAAAATGTGACAATGACAATCAATGACAACTCATATGATTAATTATCTTTATAAGGAGTCTATTCACATTTATATATGTTTACTGTATGCATTTGTTCTCTATATGGCTATATGTTCTCCATACAGTCAATGCACATTTAGACTATATAACCAATATATACTAGTTGTCTGGGGAGTTAACTGTATTTCTGGGAGTTCTGCTCTAATGTCTTTTTAAAGCTGCCAGTGTATTTCAATGTAGTGTACATATCAGGTGTTGTGAATAGCCTACATATTAAATGAGTGCATATCAAATACTGTGCTTTTAAGCTCCCTGTTGTTTGAGTAGCCTATTTACATTTTATGTTGTCTTATAGTCTACGTCTGCAATTTAGTACAAAGATGTACCTTTTACTCAGCTACATTTATTTGAAACAGGTGCAGACTTTACACATCACACAGGTAAAGCCGGTCATCCATTTATTGTAGGTTTGGCCAAGATATCCTACCGCTGTCCTTTTTAGGGTTTCAACCATGTTATGATAAAATACTTATGCAAAGATACAGACCAAAAGACACAGAAGTATAAAATGTTGTTCAAATACAGTTATGATTGCTCATAGTGAGACTCGTTTCAATCTAAAAATGGAATTTGAATATTGGTATATTGGCTTATTATACTGGCAATATTTTTGATATCACTGCAGAAATCAGGAGCCCAGTGATTCAGATTTTTGGTATTATTGGTACTATTATTAAGATGAAAAACACCCACTGTTTGACAATTTATTTTATTTTTCATATTTTTTTGTGTTTTTTGAATGAATTTATGACATGCATTGGAAAATCTTTCTTAGATAATTCTGACCAGTTCAGCCTGGTCAATTTAACTGGTTGGCCATCAAACCATTTCAACCAGCTTTACTAGTTTCTCTGCTGGGTTTTGCTGATCAGTCCAACCATACCAGGCTGTTCAACCAGTCTAAAAGCAGCTACAACCCACTACCATCTTAAGCTGGTCAATGCTGTTTTCTTAGCACTGAGGGTTTTAAACATAGGTCTGAGATTGATTGCCTCTAGCAACTAACAATGGAGGTGAAAGCATATTAGTTTGTGGCAATTTCAACACTGGAAAGTATCTCAACTTAAATTTTAGTAGAGTACTTGAGCAAATGTACTTGGTCCCCCTACTGAGCCATGTGTCAACAACTATCCAGACTCAGTTACTCTAGATTATTCAACAGTTGTCACAGGTATGATAGTATTTCGGACAAAATAAACATCACCCATCACCCAAATTCAATTACCTCAACTGTATTGGAACAACAGCAGAAATCTGGAAAAAGAACACTCAGAACACTCTCTGACCACTTGCCACTTGATGCACGTGGAAAGTTTTTAATATGTGTAATTTCTTTAATATCAGATTCAGAGACAATTCCATCCAGTCTATGGTAACAATTTTACTTTATTTAAATGATTAGGCGAGCATTGAAGAAAAACCTTGTTTCTTCTATAGTTACTTAAATAACTGCATAAACTTTAAACATTCAAAAATGAAAATGTACAACCATTTATGAATAACAGTTTCACTGTCCTTTTATGTTTAGTCCCAACCAACTTCACATGTTGGAGTGGACAATATAAAATGTTCTCTAGTAGTAAAGTCACTGGTAATTTTTCATGATCCATTGATCTTCATCCACACGTGGAGGTGAGTAGGAAGCTAAGACAAGCATTCTGTTTTTCTATTTATTTCTTTTGTTTCTTCAAGAAATGGATTTGGCTGGAGGACGGCACCTCCAGATCAATCTATCATGTCTCCCGTTTTATATTAATGACAAGCAGATGATGCCAAAAGCGGTTTGTTGTTCTTAAGACGGTATTTTTGCTTGTGCAGAAAGCCTCTCAAGTTGTCACTACTCAAAGCACATGCCTTTACAATCAAGTGTCCTCGTCCTTCTTGTTTCAAGAAAAACACAAAAAAAAAACAGAAAAAAAAAAAAAAGAGAGAAGTTCTGGGGCTTTCTACAGTGTGTGTAGATTGGTTCAGTTTGATGTGACAAGGCGATTCCTGGGGTCAGGCTGGAGTGAGGAAGAAGAGAACTTGGCAGGGGGAATACGAGGAAAGGGACATTTTAAAACTTACACAATAGAGCTAAATTATTTCATTAAGTTTTTGCTCCTAGTGTAAAGACTCTTTCTTAAAAAAACATGAACATACACATCTATTCATATACATTTACATAATGTAAAATCATCCAACTCATCCGCCTCTGAACAGGTTATTTAGTCTGTCCAGCTCCCTGCAGTTATCCATGGTCATGAGTTCTGCCTTCTTGCGCATTCGGTCGTCCCTGTATACCTTAGCAGCATAAAGCAGGTCTGTTTCTGGATGAGAGAAGCAGAGAAACAATGTCAGGGATAAAAACAATCTGGTAAAAAATGTAAAACAAAAACTATTGTCAAATTCAGTTAGCCAGTTCTGATGGTGTATTATGACAATGGTTACTTACTTGTCTGTCTCTCCTTCCAGCAGTTATTTCTCACATTAGATACATAGTCTTCCTCCACATTTTTCTCAATTTGCTGCAGTGCTGAGCCCTTAAACTCTGACTTGAAATCTCTAGTAACATAGTAGTCAACGTGCAGGTTTTCTGTCTTCCTTTGTACAGTCTGACCCGTGGATCTGAGAGAGAAAAGAAGAAACATGCCATTGTAAAACTGCTGACATTTGTAGTAATTTCACTCATTGACACACTGTAGACCACATTTTCTTTGACCAACCTTAAATACAACTGTGTGTTCAATTTACACAGGGTGTAATCCCAAATGAAAGATATAACTTACTGCATTCTTGTGCAAGCCACTGACAAAGACTGTGTGTGCACTCACGGTCTAGAGTAGAGGCTATAAGGTGGAGGGGCCACCATCATCTGGCTCAGTATTGACACTAAAATCAGGACCACGATTGGCATCAGCTGAATAAACATTGAAAAACCACCCTGGAGACAAACACAGCACATTAAGTACTTCAGTTACAGCAGCAATTGTATCATATTGTACATTAACACAAGTAGCTTGTAGAAGCAGTTCAGTTCAGTGATTTTATTATCCCAGATGGGAAACAGGCAGTCAGAGGCACAAGATTTAAAAACAAAAAACAAAAAAAACACCATGAGTACAAGACCTGCATTGACTAAAATGTTATTGATAAAAAAATATTTGCAAATAAAGTTAAATACACTGCTTTTTTTCTGTATAAATTAGAAGTTCAGAATCTACATACATCTCCTCTTTCTTCTGTCCTCTCTTGTCGGTAATCTGTCTGATGGCTGTAGCTCGTCCTGCCGTTGGTGAAAGTGTGTGCGCTTGCTGTAGATACAAATGTTACGACTGAGGTCAGACAGAAATGCATGGCACACGTAACCAATCACATTTACTCTCAAGATCAGTATTCAAAAACCGTATGTTCAAGTTGCTCTACATGATGCTGAAAGCCAGATTCTTTGTGCAATTTCAGGGATGGGGAAAACAGAAGGGGCATCCAATCAAACACTGCTCCAATTTGAAACATAATTTACAGAGCCACAATCAAGCACAACTGATGAGTGTTTTGTTTTGTAGTTTGTGTGTAAAAAAAAAAATCCACCTATTTGAGAATCTCTGGACTTATCAGAAATCCAGGATAACATGGTTGTATTTCTCACTTAACTTCAAACCCAGTTAACTAAAAGACAAGATCACTGACTGCTAACCTGATGGCAAGCGATATCAGTAAGTTGATGAACAACCATCTGATCTCTGAGTGTGTTTGTGTCTATATGCAGATAAGTGTTCACTTACAGGAGGGGAAGCCACCTCCAAAGAACATGTTGAAGAGGTCCTCAGGAGTGATGTCTGCCTCGAAGCCCCTGTGGAAGTCAAAGCCTCCTCCGTGTGAGTGACTGGGGCTGCTTGGCTCCTCCCCTCCTGTCAGGTCATACTGCCGTCGTTTGTCTGCGTTGCTCAGCACTGCATATGCATTTCCAATCTCTGGAGGATGAGAATCAGAAGTTAGATGAAAGAAACTGAACTACTATAAAAATGCTATAATAAAGTGCTTCAGTATTTTACTGTTTAGGTGTCATGTTCTGCCACAGTTTTGGAATCCCAAATGTTCTAAGTATGACCTTGCTTTCTAGTTGTGTCTAATGCATGTAAAAACACTTAGATCCAGACTGTACACTCCTCAAAAAGGCTACAGAGCCCCTGTTCTCCTTGCAGGACGTAATGGTGCCTTCAAGAGCACATATTTAACAAATTCACAGTTCTATAATTTTTCTGCTAGAAAAGGTTTACATGCTTTAATGTTTAGCAGCAGGTATAAGTGCAAACCAGCTGCAAGGTAGCTGCTTAATCTTTGTTTGAGGGTATGTCAAACTAACCGCTAGGCAGGCATTATGCAAATGTTCTATATGGTGATGTAGATAACTAACGCAAGAAAAGTCTGAATTTTAAACAAGGAGCTTTTAGCAGGTAAGGAGCAGTGTTTCCTGTGAAAGTAAATTACCCTTCTTGGTGTAGATTTCAGGCTTTGTGAATTTCTAGACCTTATAACAGCCTAATGAGCTGTATACCACACTAATGGAAAAGGAAGAACCCAGTGA